GGGGGGGGGAGGCGAGGCGGGAAAGGAGCTCCTAGTTGGGAATCATGCGGCCGCAAATGCACTGAGTTGTCAAAACATAAGGTGGATTCCCAGCAAAACCAAGAACGGGGAGGCACGAAATCTGCAACTGACGCCGATGCGGCCTTATTTGTATACCGTGGGGGCCCCTGATTAGTGCCGGTATGTGCCCAGAACATTTACCGGCGCTAGTTACCGGACCGGCACACATATTCCACCAGGCAATGCCTTGGAAATTCAGGGTCTCCCCGCCGAAAACGCCGGCACTATTCCGGGCATTGGCACTACTTCTATAATAGCCGGAACGGAAAGACGCAACGGGAAAAGTACATATTTTCTCCGCCCTGATGTTGACACGACACCGTTACAAGCACGCTGGGGAGGTGGACATGACAGCACGCCCACTGCAACGGCCGACCGGATTAGTGGATGTGCGTAGCCAAACACGTTTGCGTAGAAAAGATGCGGTCATCTGGCCCCAATTGGACAAAAAACGAAAACACTGCAGTCCAGACTACCGCTGTTGTATGCATAGACTACAGCAGTAATAGCTGTCGTCATTTGCCTACAGCAGTATGCATATGTACGACTGTAGACTCGTTGAGTCGATCAAGGGATTCGTTTGTCGCGAGCCAGGTGCGAGTCTTTCGTCTATGTAAGTCCTTGGAGATTCACCTGTGTAAACTCGCCACACTACCGTGCCTGCATCTCGCGCTGTACAGATATAGTCTATATATATATATATACAAGTTTGTACCAGTAGATGAAATCTACGTGATTACCTTGCCGTTGCGGGTCCCGTTACGTGTTCGCATACAGCATACAACTGTATGTGTAACGAAATTCATCTCGTTTCTCGGGGCAACGAGCCGCTACATCTGTGCTGTTGCTTTCTGTTAATCTCCCATCGGTCACCGGCCCGGATAGACTCCAGATATGGACAACTATTACGCCATGCCAGTGGGTAGGCGATGGACTCTACTGCTGTACTTAGTGCACAGAAGCGCGGCTTTGCCCAGCAGCACGAAGAGACTCCGCTCTCGCTCGGGTGCCTCTGGCTCCGTGACACCTCCGGTCGCAACGCGATGCACCCGAAGTTATGCCAGATCTATGCACGCTCTTTCCGAAACACCGATCGATATCGGGGGCGGGTGTTCAATATGCACACGACCCAGCAGAGTTTGCTTCGCATCAAAATGTACGCACATCGAGGTATGTGCTTGCATGGGCGGACAGGTTTGGGGGCAAGCAGCGTGTGTCTATGTAACGCCAGCGATGACCGTGCAACACGCACGGCAGGAGATTGTGCTTATGTCAAGCAAAGTCAAACCTGTTCCCTGCTGCCGCTGGTGCATCAGCCGCAGGAGCAAAGCAGCACAGCGGCACAACGATCATGCAGTAGACTCACAAATTTGCCAGGGCGATCCGTGATGAAGTTCTGGTAGTTCTGGAACCTGAAGGACGTGTGACGACGCTTGTCCATGTCGAACATCAGGTCGTCCAGCGTTCCCGCCGCGCGGCTCTTGCGGTAGGGATTCGGTCGCTTCAGCATGGTTAATTAGTGTCGATCAGAAGATGAACTTTAGTGCTGGCCCTCCCCTGCTGCTGGTGCTGGTGCTGCTGGTGCTGCTGGTGCTGCTGCCGCCGCTGTTGTGCTGTCTCTTTTTCTCGCGGTCGCGCCAGCCGCAAGTCCAACCCTGCAGATACGATTCCGGCACCAAGAGGCAAGTAACACCTGCGCTAGGATAACCCTTCCTTCGCTCTCTGCCGACCCGGGCCTGAGCACCGCCCCCTGTCTCTCTCTCTCTCTCTCTCTCTC